CTGGCCAAGACGTGCTTGGCTGAGTGTGTCTCTTGCAAGGGCAGGATTGCAGAGGGCTGTCATGGGCTGTCACTGGCTTTGCAAGGTTGGTCCACACACCACGAGCGCTTCAACACCGAGCCCAGACTCCTAAGTACCTGTACTTCGGGTGCCATGGCCACAAGTTGAATAGTCAATTTCTTCATCGACAGTGGTCCGATGGTTTGGTATCTGTCTTCTGAGCTCTTGTGCTACGTTTGCTTCATGCTTTGGCTTCATCGTTTCGCAGCACATTGACCTCGGATGCTTTTCGGATTCAGTCTTTTCGAGTTCTGAGTCATTGAAGGCCATTGACATTTCAATCAGCTCAGCCGTCGCAGCTTTTCTACCCGATGCTCATTGCGCTGCTTATTGCAACCTGGTCCTTTGCCTCCGAAGCTAGACTCTCAGCCGGTCGAACGTGCAGTCAGACCGGAGTTGTACTGGCAGCATGGACACTGCACGGGTGCTATGTGCATGGCCCACTCTGACGAGAATGGATAATGCTTGATTATGCTCCGTCACACTAGTGATAACATGAAGATGTTGCGTTTTGGAAGCCGTGCTACCTCTGAACAAGATATTTCAGCGACCAGCGGCGTAGAGGGAGTGTTGTCAAGCCGAGATATATATATATATATATATATATATATATAATTGGGGTGGCACTCCCGTGTGAATGAATGCTCTGACAGCCTCATACGAACACCTTGATGTTCAATCTTGTTCATTGTAGCCACCATTCGTCGATCATCCCACGTAGCAAACGGACACAGCGCACCAGAGCAGGGCTCGCAGAAGGGCTCGGTGTCGAGTGTTCCGTTGTCTGTTGGACCAAGTGTTCGCCAGGGGCGGTGCTGACAGTGCTCGATTCCACAAGCACTCCAGGCAGGCTCAGCTTTGGGGCAAGCGTGGTGAGAGTGCGCTGAAACTCTGATTGAGAGGTTTGGTCACCTTGCAATGCATGCTGACAGCGTTTCTCAGGCCAAGCGCGCTGCTTTCGCTTGCTCGTGAACAGTCCCTGATAGTCCATGCCCATGCCGACAGCTTCTCCGCTTGGCGTAGCTCGAAGGACGTGCCAGATCCGGGAGGCTCGCGGCCAGAGATCCGCGGATCCGCGGCTTCGCGAAGGGGGAAGCTAGCGGCAGTTGCGGCACTTGTTTTGCCGGGCTGGCAGGCTTTGATTTGCGTCCTGGTTTTCTCTGCGGAGCTCGGTCAGATCGGTGCTCAGACACGGAGCTGTGTTTCTGCTCTTCTGTTCGGATCCCTATCGCAGTGCACCGGGCTGCAGGCGCGACAGGCAACAAGGCCACACACCCGCGGTTGAGAAAAGCTCCCTTACCTATGTTGCCTGAGCCTTTGGCAAAGAACCGTGCGAGCAATACGCTTGCACAGCATAATTTCTGTTTAGATAGGTTGGAATAGGGTGTTATTGAATCAGCACAACCCCGCCCGCACTATGTGGGCTTGTGGTCGACCCCGGAGATTCTACCATCACAGAAGCCTCGCAACAAATGTGCAATGACCACATTGTAGAAAGTTTCTGTCCAACGACTTCTCTGTCTCAAAGACTTGGAAAGGTTGGCGAGCAGGTGGCAATACGCCCTTGCTCAGGAAATGTGTCGACCCTTACGCAGACGGCTTGCTTGCAAAGTGCCTTGTGCAACAGGAAAGCATGGAGATGTGTTGCGCTCAGAACGAGAAGGTGCTCCATGTGCGAGCGCCAGGAGAGAGAGAGAGAGAGAGAGAGAGAGAGAGTAGCCATTTTGGCTCAAGTGTCCGCACCTTGCCTTGGGGGGCTGTAAACCCTCCTTGGTACGGGGGGGAGGCACGCGGTTGGCCTGTGGCTGTTCACCACAGGAGAGCCGTGCTGCCTTTCCCTGCGGCGCTTGAGTCCCACGCCGCAGCTCATTTTGCTTAAGAGGCCCTAAGGGTTTGCGCATCACGGGACCCCTTGACCACGGCCCTCCTCCGGGAGGTGGCCCGTCAGTAGGGGGGGACCGCCATACTACATCCTCGCGGAACCCACGGCAAACTTCCTGGGGGGATGCAGTGTCGCATCTGCCGCGAAGCAGGGGGAATATGCCAGCCGCCCGCTCGATGCATGGATCGGGCGCAGCATACAGTGCGACGAGGACACCGGGGAGCTCTACGACGAGAAGGGGAAGATGCTGGGGGAGAGCGACCGGGAGGCCTATGCTAGCTACAGGGGGAGACTCTCCCAACGTCGAGCTTTGGGAGCAGCCGCCGACAAGTTGGTGAAAATCACGGATGAGTACATGTCCCGGATCACCAATGAGACGCGCGCCTTCATAATGCGCTTTCCGCACCGCATCCCCAAGCTCCTCAAAGAAGCCCGCAAGGTGAAGAAGAGGAAGCAAGCGCGGAGGGGGACGGGAACAACACACCGCCGAGCCACGAAAGGGGACCCACAACGGGAGCCCGACGAGATGACCGTGCCAACCACAGCCAGACCGACCGAGGCAGCCAGCAGCTCGAGGGGGGAAGCAACGACCAGTGCGAAAAAGGAAGACAGTACCCCAGATACGCCACCAGACTGGGGAAGCGAAACCAGCCAAGACGGGGGGGCACCGGACGACCATGGTGCAGCCCCGGGGGGACACAACGAGATGGACTACCACAGCTACCAGGACGAGGACCCACAATGGCCGTGGGGAGCACAAGGCAGACCTTCAGACCGAGAAGCTCACCAAACAAAGCCAGCGGAGCCGTCGGGGGAACCCAGCGGGAACATGGCCGACCGCAGCAGACCCGTAGAACCAGAAGGAGTGCCCAGGACAACGGAAGGGCAGAGGAAAAGACCGCACCAGCCTGCTGACCCACGTGCTGCCACACAGACGGGGAGAGCGACCGTGAACCTGGTGCCGAGTATAGGCTGGTAAGTGAGGGAGGTACAAGAACACATGGCCCGACGCAGAGTTGGGGGAAACAACGCAGAGGAGTACATGGCCGACGCAGAGAGGGGAACACGACAGCGATGAGTACTGAACAGAAGTGAATGTGAGCGTGGCAAAAAATTTTCCGAGTCTCGCACACGTGGGAGGGGGGGATGTTGTTTGGTTCTTGCGTTTTGGTTGCCGCTTCCCAGCGTTGTGCTTTGGTTTCGGCCCTCCTCTTTCCCTACTGTGCCCTGCTGCGAGCCCCGCCCCACTTCGTGGGGAATCTTTTGCAAAACCAACCCTGCCGGGGAATGCACGTACTTTGTACCATACGTGTTACATACCACAATCTTTCAGCCACTTTTGCCGATATGGCAGAGTCCTTCCGTCCTTTTGCAATTCGCTGCAACGCCGTCACTTTTGTGACGAAGTCTGATCCGCCTCTTTGCCACAATTCAATGCTCCCTCCCGCTTCGAGCTGGGGGGAGCTGCAATTTGCCTAATCTGGACAACCCCAAAGCCGTCCACTCACTAAAACAGTGTGAGGGACGGGCGGGCGCAACGCCTGAGGGTCGGTCGACCGACCCCTAAGCCCGGCAGAAAGAAAGAATGAAAGAAAGAGAGAGAGAGAGAGAGAGAGCCCCCAAAATATGGGGGGGCCCAGCCCCTCATGCCCGGCGGAAGAAGAGAGCGCCCCAAACAGCGGGTTTAAAAAATTCGCTAGGGATATGATGAAAGCCGTCCAGCCTTGATGACCTCCTTTCCATACTTGTTCCATGACCCGGGGAGTGAGCTAGGTTCCTGACTAGGCTAGGACGTGCGATGAAACAGTGCTAAGTCACACTGCAAAGTCGAGAACAGGGGGAAATCACCTTTTCGTTTGCTCGATGGTTAGCTAATGTCTCTGTAGTTCAGGACCGGTTGTTGATGCCGGGGATACGTCACATCCTGGGGAGGCTGGTCCACCTTTTATTCCCCACAGACAGGGCACAACCAGCCACCGCCACCCCAGTTGCCAAACCAGTTCCCGCCACCTGCATACCAAATCGGGGGACAAGCCTGCCAACCACCCGAACAAGCACAGCCACAGCAGCCAGCAGTTCAGCCAGCCACCCCCCCGAACCACACAACAGTGGGGGATGACCACCGGTCAACAGCAACATCCACAGACCGTGAACCCACCACAGGCCAGTGCTGTCGCTCAGCAACCACAAGCCGCCACCACACCCCACCGAGCAAGCGCCTCCCGTCCCCCCTTTTGATTCGACCTGCTTTTGTACACGGGTATCGCACAGGCGGCAAGGTGCACCTTCGTGACTTGGACCGCCTGCGTGACCTCCCCACTCTCGCCGAGCGCCTTTGGGGCTGGAGGGGACGACCGCCTGGCTGGACACTGGGGCACTATGGCTTAATGGGCGCCCCTGGATTTTGCATCGTTGGGCCGGAATGTATTGCCCTCGAGGGTGCCAGCCGCCCCCTAGAATTCCGCTGCTTGGACACTGATTCTGTGGAAGTGAACTTGCCCTTACAGGGGATCTTCTTCTTGAACGTAGAAACGTGGCTTCACTCAGGTAAAGGGGCCGAGGGCCATGGGCGCACGCGAATTCTTTTTCTCAACACCGCAACACAGTGATCAGAGCTTCTGTGCACATCTGACCTAAGCGCATTAGCTTCTGTGCTTCGTGGATTCTGCCGATCATGGCTAGACGTGTTGCTGGCTTCTGCCGATCATGCTCCGAACTCCGTCTAGAGCCATCCGCTACAGCCAACAAAAGGTTTCCCGTCACACAAGCTCCACTTGCGTAGCTTTACATTAAGAAGGGGGTCCGGGACAACAACACCCCTCCTTGGCGAAGCCGCAAGGCTTTTCGCCATCACATCGGCCGCTCCGTGACCTCCTTCTGGCCTGGAATACACTTCGCACACACTTCCTTCTGAATGAACTTCGTAGAGCGATTCAGGGTGCTGCAATCTCTTGTAGCATGAACGCACGTTCCAGACGGAGTAACGAACACAACCTTCGGCATTTCCTTCAACATCTCGACTTGCGTTCCGACCGAACGAGTTCGATTGAACCGTGCTTCAGTCGACACTGGCTCGGATGTCAACATGGTTGCAAACAACGAGCTCCGCCTTCTTGCGTCCTCCTCGACGATATCCTCGTAAGTAGGTGGTGGCGGAGGCGGGCATCCGTTGCTGCTGTCTCGCTTGCCTTCGCTCGCGAAGGAACTCCTCGTCTGCAGCGCATGCGCTGTACGGGTCCGGTGGTGGAGGGGGAGACGAGGCTCCTCCGAACACTGCACTTGGTCTTGAGGTAGAAGCCGTCGCCTTTGCCGCAGGGCTTCCAGCTAAAATCCCAGACAGATCCACACCAGTAGCATCAGCCAACTGTATCATCCTGTCCCTTTCTTTGGAAGTCAGCGAAGCAGACTTTTGTCGCAACAAACTATTCAGCTCTCGCATCTCCTTCTTTGACAACCTTTGGTTCTCTTGTGTCATCCTCAGGCGGGCGACTTCTCCGCGATTTCTCCAGCACACTCTTGCACACTCCCAGACAGCGATTGCACAAATTCCCAGCATCACTACCGCACCATATAGTTCCAGCGAGGAATCTACAGCAAGGGGAGCTTGGACTTCTGGGTTAATCGCTTCACCGCTAGCCTTAACTAAGTTCATAAGCACTACGACCAAACCCAAACAACAACCCAAGCCCCCCTCAGGATTCGTGTGTGGTACGGTAGGGGCGTGGTGCTCCTCGAGTAACTGCTCTGCTGGTGAATGCTCTGCTGGTGAATGCTCTGCTGGTGCTTGCTCTGCTGGTGCTTGCTCTGCTGGTGCTTGAACTTGCCGTAGGCGTGCTTGATCTCCACGGTTGAGTCCAGCCGTGAGTCCCCAAAACTCCATCAGCAGATTCATCCGTTGTGACGGCAACAACTTCGTCAAGCCATCCGCGAGCTGTTGATCACCCGGGCAATACACCACATCAACCCAGCCTTGTTCTATTCTACTCTTTGTCGTAGAGCACGATGACGAACCTTCAGATGTCTGGTCTTCCAACTCCCTCCTTCGGACGTCGCAAGGGTGATGGCCGCCGCATTGTCGACATAGATGATCCGCTGAGTCGGGACCTCCCCCATATCCGTGAGCAAAGCATCGATGGACTCCATCTGTTGACACCCATGATGAGCCGCTACAAGCTCGGTCTCTGCCGAGCTGGTGGTAACTAGCTGTTGGCGCGAACTCCTCCATGCTATCGGGCACGTTCCCCAAAACGTAACGGCTCCTCCATGACTCCGATCTCCGTCGGGGGCGTACGAGGAGTCTGTGTAGGTCACCAACGTAGGCGTGCCACCTGTCCAAAACCTTAGCCTCCAAGAACTCGTGTGGTTGAGGTAGGCCAGAGTCTTTCGTCCAATCGCTGCCACCCTTACTGGATCTCTCGTAGTCAAACTCGCCATAATGCTCACCACATAAGCTAGATCCGGTCTGCAACGTTGGGCCATCCAAGCAAGCTCACCGGTGATGGATTGTGCAAGCTTGAGGTCCTCAGCGGGGTAGGTTGGCGGGTCATGTTCTGAAGAAAGCGACAAGGTCTCCTTAGTAGCTGGCAACAAAGACTTCTCCTCTGCCCTTACATTTCGGTGTCGTAAAACTTCTTGAAGGTAACCTTCTTGGTCCAACGTGTACCCTTCAAAGTCACCCGCCTCATTGCGAGCCTCACGCACCTCAATGCCAAGGAATCGAATTGGGGTAGTAGAGGAAGCGAACTGAATCGGGGTAGTTTCCCACGTTTCCGCAAGCCACTTATAGATATCCCCACAGATCTCCTTGGGAGCGGCAATAAAGAAGTCGTCCACATAGATTATGACTAGGCCGACGACGCAGCCACCAGCGTCGCGAACCTGCCATACTTCAGAGTCTCAACGCCTTGATGGAAGGTCAAACCTCCAGGAGTAGTTGCCTTCTTCATAATCCCCGTTCTGTGAAGCCCCCATCAGCGTGGGCTACTTCTAAATCCATACAACGCCATGTGCACAGACCACACCTCGCTGGGCTGAGCTAACCCAGCTCTCACCAGCACTGCTGGTGGCCTCAAGGCCAAAAGCGTGCCCTGCGGCACTGGCGCCCGTAAAAAGGCGCTCACCACGTCGCCGGTGCAGATTGCCCATACTCGCCTCGCCGCTTGAGCAACCCCCAGCCTGACGGCTTCTGAAGCCGCTCCTCTGGAGTAGTTCTGCTCCGAGTCATCTTTGGCCTGAAAATTTCCACGTCCCACAATGCGGGCCTTTCGACGGTATTTGGCTTCGGGCTTGTTCGGAGGCTTTACCGTATATACGGCCTTCCCCGGAACCACCTGTACTCCAGGAAGATTCAAATAGTCCTTTGCGGCTTGCCCCACCAAACGCTTTATGGCGCCGATGTCCTCTAGCGTCTTCATCTCGGCCTTAAGTGCAGGGATCCAGCTTGGGAGGTTCTGATCCACTTCGCGAGGGTGTACTGTATGGACAACACGTAGTTCATCTTGTAGCGAACTCAAGATTTCCTCGATGCTGTAGGTGTAGAGATTGTCCGCCGCCGCCTTTGCACATCGGATCACATCTTCGTCCACCTCAGCTGGGGAATCCTTTTCACCAAAGTCGTGAACCACATCCTCGTCCTCGATCACCCACGGTAGATGTAGGGCCTCCTTATGCTCTTGTAGTTGAGCTCGCTTGATCATGTACTCCTCATCGGCCTTGTCTGGCATCTGGAAACCTACCCCACCAAGAAACTGTAGGTCTTCACCCTTGAGCTTTTTCCATCCCCCGACAGTGTGAGCTGCCAAAAGAAGCCTTGTTCCACTACTTGGCTGCACTGCGCAATGAAGTCGATGGGGTTTGACCTTCACGTCGCCCTTCAAGCTGTGCAACTGGCCTGGTAACTCACGACCCTTATAGTTCTGAGTCTTATAGTTCCCCAAAAACAAATCACCGGGGCAAAGTTCCTCCCACACTGCCGCGTCATCCGTGACCTCCAACGGGATCACAAGGTTGTAGGTCTTGCGGTCATTGAAACAGTCGCGATGGAGAGGCATGAAGGTATCCCTCACAATCGTCACCGAGGAAAACACCTCCTCCGGAAAGGCCAAAGTAACCAACTTACACACTTTCTCGGCTAAGGTTACGTTGTCCTTTGTCGCATTGGTAACCCCGACCACGCCACCGTGTTGATAGGCCCCCAAGGTCACGTAGGAGCTTTCGGCATTGTGCTCTTGGTCTTGTAGTTGAGGTCGATTTACACCGCCAATGAAGTCAGCGTTCTTCAACATCTCGGCGATCTCTCCCTGCAACTTCTTCCTTGCTTCGCCTGCTTCCTTTGCGGACAAGGCTTGCAACTTCACACCATCCTTGTCCACCGAAGTTTTCGTTGTCAATCTCCTCCTCGGCGGGGGCTCAACCTTAAGCTCCGGTTCTTGGTCAATCGTACCTGGGTCCACAAGCTTCGCTCTCACATGCGTAGACACCGTAAAGCGATTGGTCTCGTCCTCCAGGATTGCGGAACCCTGGTTTACGTCCCACACCGGGCCCATGTAGGTGCCTTTGACCCATCGAGGTAGTAGATCAAGTTTTCCGCCTTGGCCGTAGTACTTCTTTTTGATGGAACATTGGGTGCCTCGGGCCGCAGACGGTCTTCCCTTTGGCGGTGAGCTGCTGTAGCCATCGCTGTAGCCCAATGCTGGGGTCCAAGTCCAGATGATCGTAGTGGAGAACGTGCTCGGCCCTTCAAAAAGCGAACGGCCCTTTCCGCTGTCCCATTGGACTGGGGGGATTGGCCCTCCGTCCGCGTAAGGAGGATATTGTTGTCGAGGGTCCATTGTCGTAGCGCCTCTGACCTCAACTCGTGAGCCCGGTCTGCACGTATTCGAACAACAGGGAGGTTCTCCGCACGAAGTTGTAGGACTTTTCTTGTATGGCCTTCAGTACATGCTTCCCGCTCTTTCCCTTTAAAGGCTTGAAGTAGTAGAGAAAGTCAGTCGGGACCTCGACGTTCCCCTCCTCATCCTCCGTGGCCTTGGCGTCCTTCTCTTGCTCCACAGCGGCAAAGTCATCGTCATCCCAGAGGCCATTGGTGCCACCAACCTTCTTCATGGCCGGGTCTTCATCAACATCGACTTCAGAAGGCTCATACTCAGCCAACTCATCCTCATCAAACACACCTCCCTGAATGCTGAACTCATCATCTGCAAGACCCCCCGAGTCCTCCTTCTCTTGTACTTCCAAAGTAGAGAAGTCATCCTCCAGGTCAGCCAAGTCTTCCGGCGAGTCCTCCGGCGGGGGTTCCAAATCAGGGAAACGAGGCTTCGTGTAGGACGCTGCCAGGAAGTATCTATAACCAGATCCATGCGCATCCTTGCTGGGCATTCTCAAAGGTCCTCCCACGTCAACACTCAGTACATAGCAACTCTTTTGGTGAACTCGCCTGTGAGGTCGCCCTGTTCCCAACATCATCACACACTGCTCACAATCTCGCCGAAACGGTACATGATCTCGCTGGATGTGAAGTTTCCATGCTTGTTCCTTTGAAAGTTTTCGTAGCTCACACTCCCCTTCCGACTCATAGGCCTCCGCTCCGTCACCGAGCCCCGCAGCTTGAACGCCTTCTTGTACAGCACGTCGAAGCCCTGGGCACCACCGACGGGTTGGAAAGTCAGGATCTCGAGGAGGTCGTAGGTGGTCGGGTCTTACATCCTTAAGGCCCTCGTGCACATCCAAACCCACATTGTGAAGAAACCTCATAGGCGCCCGCTCCGGGTGTCCAAAGGCTCCCTGCTCAAACTCGCACCCGTTGACCCCAATCTCTCCAACCACGTCCTGGAACTTCTTAATCATCTCAGACTTCCAAAAGGCGTTTCCCTCGGTCGGTGCTCCCATCGCGAAAGCCGGTTCCGCGCCCTCGGAGGCAGTGTAGCTAACGAGGTACAAGAACAACTCCTTGGCAATCATCTCCGTGTCCTTGAGGTAACGAAGGTCGCCTTCCGAGGTTCCATTTCCAGCAAGGGCCAGTCCACTGGTAGGAGGGGAAGCGATCACAGCCTTCACCTTCGAATTCATGGCGCCCCAAAGAAGAGCCTTGTAGATCTCGCCCTGCAAGTTCCATCCCAAGGACAACGTAACGTCCACATTGATCACCACAACTGCTCCTCGATGTTTTGAGGAAGTGGCCCCCGATAGGGCCTGCACAGGATCTCCCTTCTTCTCGCCAGCAAACATGTTGAGAACCCAGCAGCTCGACTTATGCAAACGCTTCCGCATCCGCCTGGGTAGAGGTAGAAGCTTCAGGTAGTTCCAGCCTGCGCCCGGAGCCACATCAAGTTCAGGAGCAACACGCGCCCTCACCTCGCTGGGCATGGTCGCGAAGACCGGTGAGGTATACAACGCTTGCAAACCATCTGCTGAACACCCCTCCTCAGCGTACTTGGCCAACAAAATTCGCCAGTCCGCCCTCCGGTCTTCCAACATCTGGATCGCTGTAAGCTGGCTCTGCAACTCATGCGTCTTTTCTCTGAGCTCCGCAACCTTCTTCATCTCCAGCTCGGCAATGATCGCTGCGGCCTGACCGGCATCCGTTATCTCTGGGCATCCCCCTCTCACATGGGTCTTGATGCGTCCATGTTTTGGGTGATGATGGTAGAAGCCGCCCTTGGACCACTTTAGGGTGCAACCCAAGCACTCTATGACCTTTCCGAACGGAATGATAGATTGCACATCCTTCGCCTTGTCGCCCTCCACGATGATGCTTCCACTCCCCGTCTGACTGAGTAGCCGCTGTTCATCGCCTGCTAAGGTGACACAGACTTGGTGGCAGTCATCACGTTCCCTTTCATCTCTAGCTGGTCGCAAGACATGCGTTGAGCCCGAGTCCAACAGAGTGCCCTGCTCCTTGCCAACATCGTTGTCGGACACCTTCATCACCTTCATCCTCATAGCATCAAGCTGCCTTTGTATCTCCGCATAGGAAGGAGCAGAGGAAGTCGAGGACCACCTGTAGAAGTTCCCACCGACATAGACTTCAATCTCAGTTCACGTACTTGACCCTCTGCAGTCCGATCACGTGCTTGACCCTCCGCAGTCCGATCATGTACTTGCACCTCTGCAGCCCGATCACGTACCTGAAGAGCCAGGTGATCCCGCTGTTGCTGAAGCTGATGTACCTCATCACGTAAACGTCTGGCCTCACCTTCATGTCGTTCAACGAAGCTCCGCAGCTGCCTTTGCACCTCGGCTTGAACCTCTTCTGACGACGTAGAGCTTGGAGGCCCGCGTCTTGTGTACAACCACGGGGCTTCTTGTTCATGTCTCTCAAATCTCGAAGTCTGTTCCGGTGTGAACAACTGGGGTCCCCATGTCGGCAGGAGCGTAGGCGTTGGAGACCAGGATCCTTCCTCTAAAGGCAACGGCGGTGGTGGAGGCGGTGATGGTGATCTCCGCGCTGATGGAGGCGAAGGTCGACGAACAGGTAGTGGAGGAGGCATTGGGGTAGGTCTTAACACATAGCTCTGCAAGTCACTGGGCCTCGGTATTGAAATCATCGGCGACTGCGCTGCCGCTTGTGGTAGTGTTAACTGCTGTGAGCTTGCTGCTACGTGTTGTTGCTGACCTTGATAGGTAGGTAGGGAATCCTGAAGGGTCTTGGTTTGTCGTTGAACCCAAACCCAGCCCATCTAAGAATCTACCCTGAAGTCCATTGCCCCTGGTAGACGACCTCAAAAACTCTGTAAGTCGCGCAACCCAGCGCACCACGGGCGGGCCACCAGCCTGCTGTTGAAACGAATACTCCATCGCCATGGTCCTTTCCGCTTCCGGTTGCCCGCTCTGGGGTCTCTGTGGCGACACAGGCCTTGTCGGTATCGACTCGAAACCTGCACTGCTCGATGGGCTTACCACCGCGTCTCGATCTACACGTTCTTGACCTTCCGCTAAAAACACCAACGGTCCAGTATGCTCCACGGTCGGTAGATGACCCTCTCGGGGAGGCGCTGCCACCCGCGGTGCCGCTAGCAGCGGTGCCTCGCGAGCCGCATCCTCCCTCCGAGGATCAACTCCGTTGACCATCATCGGGCCTACACGTGTGTCGTGCCCGGCAGCCATCTCCTGTGCTCCATGTTGTGCGTTCCCATACTGCGGCCCATCCACTTCACCTTCCAGCGTCGGCGGAGACGGCACTGTAGGTTGGGCGCTCATAACCTGTGGAAGTGAACTTGCCCTTACAGGGGATCTTCTTCTTGAACGTAGAAACGTGGCTTCACTCAGGCAAAGGGGCCGAGGGCCATGGGCGCACGCGAATTCTTTTTCTCAACATCGCAACACAGTGATCAGAGCTTCTGTGCACATCTGACCTAAGCGCATTAGCTTCTGTGCTTCGTGGATTCTGCCGATCATGGCTAGACGTGTTGCTGGCTTCTGCCGATCATGCTCCGAACTCCGTCTAGAGCCATCCGCTACAGCCAACAAAAGGTTTCCCGTCACACAAGCTCCACTTGCGTAGCTTTACATTAAGAAGGGGGTCCGGGACAACAACAGATTCGGAGCAGATGGTTGCGCATCCGTTGACTGGTACCGTCCGAGGTTGGATATGTGCGGAGCTGGAGCGTCTGCGCTTCCGGCCACATTGCTGGATGCCTACTTCGGACAGGTAGGGCGCTTCCAATTGGCCCACTCGGCGGACATCTCGGATGCGTGCGACCAGTCATTGCCGGTTGAGAACTGCCCCATCAGGGTTACGTGCTCAGGAGCGTCGGCGTTTTACATTCCGGCCCGTACGGAGGAGTGGCAGGTAGTCTGCTCACAGCAGTGCTACGGGCCCACGGGCTGCCAAGCTGAAACCACCGAGGTAGACGAGAAAGGGCAGCTCTCGATCGGGGAGCCTGACAGGCTCGCGTATGCGGGCCAGCACACCAGTATCTTGTTGTTTTTATGTTTGTGTGGTTCGTGCGGCGTATGCCATGCTCGATGCTCCGCTGAACCCGCCTGAGCTGGCTATGATACACCGACCGTTCGAGCGTCTTCCCCGAAGCTCGCACCTGCAATCTCCCCATAGTGGATGCCTGAGTGCGATGCTTATTTTTCTTGCGGCATTGCGGCCCAGCCCCCTGATAGTCCACGGCTTTTCAGCGGGTAGCTATACGGGGGCAGTGCTTGCGCTCTTGGCGCACCGTGTGTGGGGACGCATCCCGCCCCAACCGGGGCCCGGCAATTCTGCTGTGGCCCAAGTGAGCCCACTCCGCCATGCTGTCCGGCTAGGTGCGCTAGGCATGCCGGACTACGTATTTGAATAACTCATAAGGCTCCCGATTACCTTGTGGCTGGTGCATGCACGGGATGACCAATTATGCCCCTTCAGTCCGCCGGCACACCTCCGGGAACAGCTGAATCATGATTTGCGCGAAGGAGGGGGAGGGCTAATTAGTCTGGCTGATAGGAGGCACGTCGAGGGAGATGTTTGGCTCAGCTGGCCACGGATATGGACATTTGCTCGGACGATTGGAAAGTCTACCCTCGGAGGTGGACACTGCGAGGTGCCGGGCAATGTTGCCGCTTGTCAATGACAACCACGAGTTGCACTTGGCCTTCCAGCAACTGCACTTATTCCGATTTCCAGTCTTCAGTGACTCGCCCGATATGCAGGTTATGGAGGCGGTTTTTCCGAAGGCGGAGCTTTCCGAGCCAACCCTTGCGAACCTCAAGGAAGCCTTGCCGAGCGCCCTCTGCAAAAAACAAGGGAACCCACAGGGAACCCACCCCATCTGCTGCAAAAACCAAGGGAACCCACTTACACACCCTTTGGGTAGTATAACACTATTGGAACGGTGGAAGGTCCCAGACATGCCGGAGTCAATCAAACTCAGTTGGCAGCTGAGTATTATACCACCGGCTTTGTCCTAAGGGTGAAATCATTTGCCCGCCACCTCTGGGCTCGTTCAGGTTCCCTCGTCTGTATCCTCACACCCTGCAGCATACAATCTCGAATCAAACTGCGGCGGATCAGTAGAGTCTGCCTGTCCTAGCTTTCTGCAAGCGGACAATTTCGGATCCAGATTTTCATGCTGCGCGTTGCTCTACGTAAAAGACTACGGCGCTCAGCTTCGACCTTGCAGCAGGCTCAACATTTCAGAAGCGAATGAGCATGATATGACGGGCTCACATTCGTGCATTCGGAAAAACCTGCTAGATGTCAACAAAGAGTTTTGGCTGCCCACATGGACTACAGCAAGGCTCACTTACTCATCCTAAACCCTACACCGCAACGCAACCACGTTTTGTGGCCTTCAGAAAAAGAAGGCTGGGATTACGTCAAAGCAAGGCTTCGTCACTGACTAGCCGGAAAGTTTACCAGCTGCTCAGGCAACAGTTTGGGCAATGCTCATACATTCACTGGCTCAGATGGCAGACCTCATTGCCAGATGGCAAACCCCACTCCGCAGAGTCATCGCTTTTAGTGCCGGGCTCAAAGCCCCTAAAACATTCGTGCCCTGCCTCAGACAAGGCTTGCGCACTGCTGAACCGCTCACGCTCAACCGAAGACGAAGAAGTTACTAGCTGCCACGCAACAGTTCGGGTCACAGCCAAGCTCTCTCACCCACTGCTTCGGCAGGGCTCGCACCGCTGACCACTCTCAGCGCCGGGCTCAAAGCCGTAAACATTCATTCCCTTGGAAAAGAAAGAGCGAAGCTTGGTCACTGCTCACCCGACACCGAAGAAGAATTTACGCGCTGCAGGCAGCCGTTCGTCGCAGCAAAGCTCACTCATTCACACTCACTGACTCACGTACTAAAAGCTGGCAGAGCTTAGTCACTGCTCAACAGATACTCGCTGCTGGGGCAACAGTTCAACACCAGAGAGGCGACAGCGAAGCTCACTGACCGCTGATCACTCTCAGTGCCGGGCTCAACGCGCGTTAAAACATTTGCGCCATCGTGTGAGAAACGACAAGGGTTAATTACTGCGATTCAGAAAGCTGCCGTGCTACTGTTTTGGCCTGGGCAAGTTCAAACATCTACATTCGACGGGGCAGCAGACAGAACCATACCTTGCGAAGTCGTTTTTGCTCTGCTTTCAGGATCTTAGCAACTCTGCGCGCTTCTACCTGCTTTGGACGAAAGACAATCAAGACATCTTGTAGACACGCAGACAACACCACACCTTTGCATCCTGACGCTCCTGTCACAGGCGGGCCAGACGGGCGGACAAAGTCTTAGCAACAGGCAGACGAGGAAGGACCATTTATTTACGAAGGACGTTCTACACTCCTGCGGCAACTCCACTCTTTAAGGGGGAGGAACAGGAGGTGCTTCCACGTCGGACATCGTTGCAACACATGGGCCAAAAGAACGCTCGAATTACGGAGCCAATTCCACTGAGCTCGGAGCACGCCAGCCGCCTACGGCGGAGGCTATACACCGCCTCAAAACATGGCTACTAAGCACAGATCAATTGCACCACATCTCGGAGGACGGTGGCGTGACCTGCTGGCTCCCAGAGCCTGTCGCGAGAGTCTTGTTGCGGCACTCCTTGGCCAGGGTAGTCGACTTTCTTTATTTCCACCTCTTTAGCAAGGGTGCCGCCCTGGCGGACTCGACGGAGGAGGGGAGGCGGGAACCGCACCGACACTCCGCCTCCAGGGAGCGCATGGCAGGGAGTCGGACATTCCAAGGGTTTGCCGTCATTGTTACCGCGGTGACATGTACTAGCTTTGGTGCGTACGTCCTGAAGATTGTGGCGTCATCTGATTCAGGCGACACACGTAATTGGTTCTCCCATGTGGAGAGGCCATTTCCCCTAGAGGGCTCGGTCGTTGTGTTTGAGGTCGGCTGGTAGGGATCTTTACGGAACTCCATATTTCGCGGAGAAGGCATGAAGATTACTATGCAAAACATCTCCGGAAGCTCAACCCCAGTTATGTAGAGCTGCTGGTGCAGGAATGGCCT